GATGGGAGCCCAAAGAAGACACCTCTAATCCACATTTGGTGGTGGGGTTGGGGGTATTATGTGGTCCCAGAAGGGCTTCCCACAGGAGACATTTAAATTGAGCCTCAGAAGGTAAGTAGGAGATAGCCAGGCAAATCGGGGAGGACAGGTTAGGGTTGAAGTAAGAAGATATCATTTCTTTCTGTCCTTCATTCATCGGGCAAATGAGTATTCAGCCCTACTGTGTGCTCAGTGCTGTTCAGGCTCCTCGTCCGTTCCTGATGCTGAAGAGCGCCTCCTGCTGGCAATTCGAAGTATAGCAACCTCTTCAATGGGAAGAGGATTCACCTGGAGTCACGGAACAGAAAATCCTCAGGACCCGTTCGCGGAGTAAGTGGTGGAGGCAATCCACACTGTAGAATAGTGCACTCATTCACCCACAAGAAGCTGTTCAAAAACTCTAAGGTGGGAGAGGAATCAAAGAACCCTGTGAACTGGGGAAAGAGAGAACTCTCTTTTGCTGGGAGGGGGTGTTCATTCAGAGGTGTTGCAGAGGGCAGGGCTGCTAAGCTTTGTGTGTGGTTTTGGTGCTTAGACCTGGTCATGCATGCATCCTTGTTCCCTGCTGGAGTCTCCCGCAGTCATGGCAGAGCCAACTTCAAGTTCAATTGCATCACATCAGTAGCTTGAATTTGGTCCTGATCGGAGTATTTACACCACAGGAACTGGTCAAGCTTACAGACCAGAGCATCCCTTCCCTATCTACCCCCACCTTGGAAAGCCAGTTGTCCAACATTGATCAGCCCACCACTGTCTGCACACAAGGATCCCCAGCTGTGTGCAAAACATAGCATTGCTCTTATCAGAAGCCTAACAAATGTCCAATATCACAATGCAATGCTCTGGTAGATTTCAGTGTATATGCCTGGAGACCCTGCCTTCCATACAGGGCAGTCTTGGGATACTTACGCCCGGGTCATCTGCAGAGAATAATAGAGAGGCTTCTGGGTCTCTGAGAAGATTCTGAGTCAGTTTCCTGATGCAACAGCATGGATGAAATACAGAAATGGAGTGATCCGGGAGGTGGCCAGATGGCTACTGGAGATGTCCTATGCGAGGTTCCTTTATTCGAGGGAACAAATAGTGAAATAATAGTAAGGGAGAGGGTCCTGGGTCTCACTGAGAGAGTGCCAAATGGCAAAGAATGTGTTCTGAGATGTGTGTTTTCTTTCAGTTTAGCAATCCCATCCTCCATCCTCCAGGAAACATGGCTCTCCTAATGCTGGGCTCTGCCCTTTCAGTCTGAATGCCTTGTTCCCTGGGGTGGAGGCTGTAGGGGACAGGGAGGACTCACAGGTGTGAAGAATGTCCTTCTAGGAGTTGAGGAAGAAAACTGAGGTGAGGGACAGACACAGGCCTGTTCCCTCCCTGGCAATGAAGACTTAAGAAGTGTGCGAGCTGAGAAAGGCAATAGGGCAGAGAGAATAGCATCACAGATTTAGGAAGCCATGGAAAGTTCTGTGAGTTCTTAAGGGTGTGTTCCACAGGCGGGAGGAAAGGGTGATGGCAAGAGAGGAGCATAGAAATGAAGATGGAACTCAGACTGTGGGCCAAGATGTTTGTTCTTTACTCTGTAGCCAATAAGGATTGATAAAGATATTTAAAATAGGGGAACAATAGGGTCACTTTTACCCTCCCACCCCCCCCCCCCCCGGGATATAGAGTATAGAGTAGTAGATGAAGATTCTGGTGACCAAGACCAGGCTGCTGCAAGCATAGTTATTTTTTTCCTGCAGTAGCAATTCTCCTTTTTCTTTCTTTCTAACAGAATTTCAACTTCAATAAGGGAGACAGTGTGTCCTGCTTAAATCAAACAACCCACCCCAGTTACTGTTCCCGGTCTTCCCGTAGAGAGTGGTCACGTGACACAGTTCTGGCCAAGGGACTGCATGTCATTAGGTGGAGCTTCCAGGAGAGCTCTTTGAAAGGAGGTTGGCTCACGAGGCATTTGCCTTTTGCCCTTTTGCCCTTGCCCTTTCTTCTTGCCAGGAACATGGGGTGTGGAAGAGAAGCCACTCTTCTGTGAACACAGGTAGCCACATGTCAAGAACGGCTGCCCGGAAAGGCAGAAGAACCTGGGCTCCCTGGAGGCTTTGTGGGTCTGCCATATTGGTTCTGGACCTTGTCTGTCTGAATTTCAAATTGTGTGAGAAAAAATAAACTCCAAGCTCTGTTTGGTCAAGCCACAGCAAGCCCCGCTTTCTTGTTCTGTCAGCCAAACTTCTTCTTATCTATCTTGGCTACTATTTCAAAGATCCGGATGGGACAGCCTGAGGACTGATGCTCAGCCGCACTGGTAGCATGAAAACGCAGGAATGCCTCTCAGGTAGACTTGGTAGTAATGTTGTTTTAGGGAGAACGAAGCAGGAAAGACCATTCAGCTTCAGAGACCAATGGAAATATGGAAGACAGAATGGGCTGCAAAGGATTCAGGTTTCAGGGGGCGGGTAGGGTATATGCAAGAAGACAGTGAACTGAGTTTGGGACAGGCTGAGTTTGAGGGGCTTGACATGCAGCTAGACGGGTCCTCCTCTGGGCCGCCAGAGAGGCAAGACAGCATTCAGAAGAGAGACCAAGAGAGCTCTGAAGTAGAGATATGGCAGTCATCCGCAAAGAGACGGAGGCTCCAAGGGAGTGGATTGAATCACTTAGGAAATGGATGTGTGATGAGAAGGGGAGCGAGGAGGGAAATTCTCGGGAATCCCATCAGGCAAGGGGAACCCGGGTGGGTGCAAGAAGAGGGAAGCAGGTTGTAAGAGAAGTGGAAGAAGGATTCACAGAGGCAGGGTCCCAGGAGCCAAAAGCAGAGCCGGTTTCGAGAAGGAAAGAGCGGTCAAGAGTGTGATAGGCAATGGAGTTGTCAAGTAGGATGAGGAATGAAAATTAGCCTATGGATTTGGCAATTAGGATGTCAGATTTTCTACTAAAACTGCTCCCACTGAGGTCACTAATGAAGCCAGAGAAATAGAATGATTTGCCCAAAGTGACATCGTTAGTAATGAGCCAAGCATTAGAAATAGAGGCCCCTGACTCCTGGCAAAGTGCTCTTTCTCTTCTATTATATGTACTTTTAGGCTGTCCCCAAATCCCAGAGATAGGTTTACATTTTAAAAGAACAGCTTTGGGGGGCAATTTATGGTCAGATGCAAATGACTTTTAGCTGTCTGATTGGTAAGTAGGTTTAAAGAGGTGTCATTTTGTCCCCAGGTTAAATTATCTCCTTCACTAATATTTTGATGTGCTGAGATCTCTGAATGAACAAGGAAGCAAGACATGGAGAGGAAGAGTCCACACGAGAGCCATTCACTCCTGCACTACTCACTTGTGGCTCTCAGCCTAGCTGGAGACTGTCTCTCCTCTTTCATTCCATGCCTGCCCCACAGCAAAAGGCCGAAGGGACTGTCTGCGATGTTACTTAGTATAGAAGAGCTCCTTTTCTCCAGGGCTTCTCTGAAACGAGGAGCCCTTTCCGAGACAGTCCGTCCTGAGTGGGCATCCCTTGCCCATCATGAAGATCAGAAACAGCCCAGGCACACGACTGTAAAAGGTGCTATTTTACCCAAAAGGTCTGACTCCATTCCGGACCAAGACACGTGAAAATCCCAGAATCGGTAAAAGCCATATCTATCAATATGAGAGGTGTAGTTCAAAGGAGGCAAGGGAGTCCGTTTTGAGATTCGGAAGGCTGAGCTGAACCTGAGTTGTTTTTTTGCTTCATACCAGAAAGCAGAGATCGGCAAAGTGAAATATTGAGGGGCAAAGTTGCCACAGCCCCAGTGTATTTAAATCACTGGTCCCCTAGGCGATCCCTGATACGGATACACCTGCCGGTACTGAGGTTAGAGCATCAGGTGTCCTAGCAGAAACCCCTCTTTCAAGACACTGTGTACCAGAGAGCACAAAGTAAAGCAAATAAAGCCCCCAAAGCTGTGAAACTCTCGCCTCGCCACACCCTGCCCTAGGCTGCCAGGGGGTGGATCCGCAGCTTGGATATATGGCCGGTGGTTGGCAGGGAAACCTGGTGGGTTTGCTGGGGGCACAGCAATCCATAAAAGAAAGAAGGTCCAAGCAGAGCAAGAGGTTTTGTTGTTGTTGCTTTTTCCGAGCAAATGAGCACTGACGTCCTCTCCCATGTCAGAAAGCTGCCTCGGATCCGGAGACAAATTTTCTCCTATGGACAAGGCAGTGAGGGCTTCTGGCTGATGAGAAGTAGCTGCTATTCACCGTCTCTCAGAAGAGGGACATAAAGAAGGAGATGCAGCCAAAATAAACAGATGGTGGGATCGGGTGGGGGATGCTGTCAGGAACAGACACACAGGTATCATGGGCCCCGGGCAACCACACAAAGCCATTAAGAGGAGCCAAAACTCAGCAAAGAGTTCTAGAACCCTGGGAAACAGCATGTGCTCTGCCCCAGGGGGGGTCGCCTTGGAATTGTCACCGATCCAAGGGTAGTGAAGTTTGCACAAAGCAGGAGGGACCCAGCAAGCCGAACAATTCTGGACACCAGGGAGGACTGAGCAAAGATGGAACTGGAGTGAAATAAGTTAGCAGAGTCAGCGTAAACTCAGAACCCCTCGAGTGTCGGGAAGATTGAGTGGCACATAGCGTGGTGTGCTATGGCAGGCCGCTTCCAGAACCAACTCAGAGTCAACGAGGCAATTCTGCAAACACTGACTGAAGACCTCCTGGGTAGCGGGCACTAAGATGGGACTCTCCCTTTGAGGACCTGGTGGTCTGGGGAGTGGAGTGTTTTTAGATAGATCAGTGACGCCACAATATAATGGTTATGAGCAGAGTCTTGAAGGATCAGGAGGACGGAGTTATCACGGAAGGCTTCAGGAAGGAGGCAATGTTGAAGCCAGGTAATGAAGACTCAGCAGGCATTTGCCGAGTCAAGAAGGAAAACTTGCACCAGAAGGCTATACCTGGGCAACCAGAAGGTTATATTAATTAAAGCTCTGGTTGCAAAGCAAAGAAATCCTGTTGAACTAGCTGAAGTTAAGAGGAGTGTTCCTACAGAATTACAACAGATGATCTTACAGATCTCACAGCCTTGTGGGGGTCCAGGTTTGCTTGGGTATCAATGTCAGGGCCAGTTGTCTATGACCTTTGAGGTCAAGTGCCCATCATCCTGTGGGTACACCTGACTCAGACTCTCAGTTTTCTGATTCCAAATTCCCACGACAGAGAACGCCATTGGTCCAGACTTGGTCATTGACATTTGATTGGAGGATCGGTGCCTGGGAGTCATAGGGGGTGATGCAGTGGTTAATATACCTTTTGAGACATGAGTGGGTGTGGATGGGCCATGCAAGTGACATATTTACTACAGTGAAACTGCTCATGTGAACACTCTGGGAATACAGGAAATCTACCATAAACTTCCAGGAGGGACTAACAGCTCCTCCTCTGTGCTCCCAGGGCCCGTGGGGCAAACGCCTTTATCTTACCACTGAAAATATTGTGATTAAAGCTTATCTTCATGTGGATCTCTCCTTTAACAGAACTTCAGTTCTACAAGAAAGGTACAAATCCGAACTCTATGGATCATTGTAATTCTAAAAGATAGCATTGCATCCAGCACGTGTAAGTCTGAATAAACTTTGATTGTACTGATTTTTTAAAATATTTTATTTATTTATTTGAGAGAGAGAGAGGGAGGGAGTGCTCACGCACACACAAGCTGGGGGAGTGGGAGGCAGAGGAAGAGGGAGAGGCAGACCTCACTGAGCAGGGAGCCAGACGTGGGGCTCAATTCCAGGACCCTGAGACATGACCTGAGCTGAAGGCAGACTCTCAACCAACTGAGCCACCGAGGCACCCCTGTACTGATTGTTGTACCTGACATTAACCTTCTTTCCTCATTTTCCATCCATTACCATCACCTGCTACATGCTGCTTCCTCTGGTAGGAGAGGAGCATACTTGGAATGCTGGGCTTTTCTTTTTCTTTTAAGATTTTTTTAAAACTTATTTTGGGGGGGGTGTGAGTGTGGGGAGGGGCGGTGGAAGAGAAACTCTCAAGCGGATTCCCTGCCATGTGTAGAGCCTCATGTGGGGCTCGATCTCACGACCCTGAGATCACAGCCTGAGCTGAAATCAAGATTTGGATCCTTAACCAACTGAGCCACTCAGGGCCCCCCCACGATGCTATTTAAGCTGACAACTGAGAACAGAGATTTTATGGGACTATGACAGGTGTCAGAACTGGGCTCTACTTGTGTCCAAAGAACAATATATGCAGGGAGCCCTAAATTGTGACCATTATGGGGCAGATGTAGTTGGGTATCTTCACCCAAAAATCCTTTTTTTTAAAAAATGAGTTTATTTATTTGAGAGAGAGAGACAGAGAGAGCACAAGCAGGGGGAAGGGCAGAGGGAGGGGGAGAAGCAGGCTGCCCCTGAGCAGGCAGCCTGATCCCCGGGGACTCAACCCCAGGACCCTGGGATCATGACCTGAGCTGAAGGCAGATGCTTACCTGACTGAGCCACCCAGGCGTGCACCCAAAGCTCTTTTGCAGGCAAAACTAAGGAGCCAGTTGTGGGGACCTCATTCTAATGCAAGACGAAATGGACAGACATATGTTGCCTCAGTGTCGAGGGACAGACAGTATCTGAGCATACCACAGCCAAGCCGCATGGACTCCTGTCTGAAGAGCAGTAAAAAGCTAGAAGAGGGGAAAAAAACCCACTCTGCTTCCCCGAAAGCTCTATAAGACCAAGACAGCACTAACCTGACACCTGCAGACCAAGCATACTATGGGAGAGAAGGTGTCTTCTACCCAGACGCAGCCGGGGTTTGATATACTGAGAGCTACAGTCTCAGCCGTGGCAGCGCAGGGAGACTGGAGGCAGCTCGGTGACCCCAGTCGATGTGACAATACCGCCACAGAGATGGCAGCCGTGCCCAGCAATGGTAGTCGTGCCTGGAGGACAGAAAGGCCTCCAGAAGGCGGACACTGACCCAGGAGCCCAGCAGGGTATCATTCACGCCTGACTGGTCTTATTAGCGAGCGGACAGGAGTCACTCGACTACCTGCCAGTGTGGACCAAACACCACCGTAAGTGATCCTGCTTGTACCCGCAAGCCGTTTGACTTGGGGAAATTCAAGTGACATGTAAATCAAGGCACTATGCTTTCTCTCCACAGCAGCCTAATGTCTGGGGGACTTCTCATTCCAAGTAAGTCTCAGCAGGAATGAGGACCCTCTTTAGATGGATTTGCAGGGCTTCCAGAAGGAGCCAAAATGGAGAGCTCCTCCCAAGGAGATGCAAGGGTGCTAAGAGCAGCTGCCAATGGAGGAGTGACATCAGACAGAAATGAATAGAAGCTGCCCAAAGAAAAGATGTGCTCCCTGGCAACATCAAGTTTAGAAAAGAGGCCAAACAAAGAGCTCTAAAAAGGATGGGGGATGGTAGGGGAAGTAATCAGAACTAGGAAAGCGAGAAAGTCTGAAAAAAAAAAAATCAAACAGCAACTCAGAGAGAGAAATTATAGCACAAAGTTAAGAAAGTGCAAAAACATGATAAGGAAAGCAAAGGTGAGGAATGAAAAGAAGATTGCAAGAGAGGCTAAGATAAATAATAAGGCATTTTTCAAGCACAGAAGGAACGAGAGGTCAGTACAAGAGCCAATAGGGCTTCTAAAAGCTGGCAGAGGTAATTTATTGACAGAACATGAAGACATTGTGAAAAAAATATTAAAAGGCATTTTTCTTTCCCCTCTTCGCCTCTCTTTTCACAAAGGAAGATGGGGACATATGCCAGAACAGACATAAATTTCCCAGGAGTGGAAAAAAGACATATTGAAGGAAATCAGGATCGTGTCAGCACAGGTGATCAAGAAATTAGGATGTCAGAAAAATTGCGGAAAGTCTAGAGCCAGGCCAGAGTCTCCTGGAATGAGGGACCCAGAGGCCAGTGAGGTCCAAGGCCAGGGAAGGGAGGGATGGGAGAGGGTCTGCGGTGTGCAAGGGCGGAGCGACAGCAAGTCACCCATGAGCTGCTGTTGGAAGCAGTCTCATACCGCGCCCTTAAACTCATCTTGTGGCTGCTTTTTATCTCTGATGTGAGGAACAGATGCAGGGTTTTATCAGGACTTTTATACTCCAAACTACCGACATTTAATGATCCCTGATGGGGAACTTGCTTTTAAGAGCACCCAGCATGACCCAGTTTTGAGTAAAAGTTCATTTTCCTTCTCATCCGAAGATCCCAGACCAGAGGAGAAGACCTGGGTTCAAGTTAGGATTCTGCCACAGACTGGTTGTGTGGCTCTGGGTTAATGGCTTCATCTCACAGAGATGTGTGTCTCCCATCTCTAAAATAAGACAAGAACTACCTTACAGGACCACAATGTTCAAATGAAGTTGTTTGCTCATGCACCAGTACAAGGAAAAATCCTGAGTGTATTTTATGGGCCAGACACTGGTCTGGGCCCCCAGGAGGCAGGAGTAATAACACAAATTCTGTTTTTGCAGGGCTGACATTCTAGTGTGGGGACAGATCTATCCAGCAAGGAAACAAAAGACAAGGTCATTTCAGAGAGTGTTGAGAGCTTTGGGAAAAATACACAGCTACATAAAGGCCTGCTCACAGGGTTAGTCAAGGAAGATGACATTGAGTTGAGATCTGAACTAAGAGGAAGGAAGATCTGGATAGAACATTCCAGAAAGAGGGCAGAAAGCCTCAGCCCCAAAGTTCTTGTATAAAATCATTGTATAAACTGCACAGAGTTGTCAAAATGCTGGCTCTGAGTGCTAGCATTATCAGAGCTCTGTCCAAGCTTGAGAATTTGATTTTCTCCTTTGACTCCCCAACCTGGGTAAACCATAAGGAATTATTGAATCAAGACAAGCCTAGTGACAAAGAAGTGCAAAGCATACAACATTTGTGGAAATATAAATGAATTTATAGGAGCAGGAAGGGCATGTTCTTGCTTTCTGGATTCTAAGGCTGTGGTCACTGCCTGTGGCCAGCCTTGAAGTCCCAAAGAATCGGCTTCGGATGTGTTGCTTACCTTGGGCTGCCCAGGTTCTGCCTAGCAGGTGGGGGGAAAATGAAGACAGGTGGATTTGGTTCCCTGTTCAAAAGCATTGACCCTATTTGAAATTTATTCCTTTCCATCCCCAAACTACAGTAATTGTAGTCATGCAGCAATCAAAGAGAAAAACTTCATTTCTATGCTTTCAAAGAGAGTGATTTTCACAAAATAAGTCAAGCTTTTGGTCTGGAAAACAAGCTGAATGCTGACAGAGGAAAATAAGTAGAACAAGAAACTTCTAATACTTCATCTTCACGCAATAGTCCAATGAAAGAGAAGTCAAATCTTACTTCCCAAGAGCTTATGGAGAAACTACTAGTTTCAGGGCATCACCAAAATAAATAATACCCAGTCCTTGTTTCTCACAATGTCTCTGCTTTGAATCACACTATTTCAAAATATGGTCTCGGCTGGATCAGAAGAAAAGCCTTCCTTGTGATTTGCACCAAGAAATAAAGCAGAAGAGATTAGACTTCAATTGGAAATAGGAGACATTCACAGAGGAACATTTTTTCAACAAATGAAACTTCAGACAATGGTCGGCTCCTGCAGGTGCAGCCTTGCGGGCCGGAAGCTGGACGGGGCCGGAAGCTGGACGGGGCCGCCAGTCCTGAGAGCCTGGACTATCATCAGCTCCCTGGCCCCCTGGTCTCAGGTAAGATATTTAGCTTCTCAGTCTCCTCTTCTGTAAAATGGGAGGAGAAAGACCTCGCAGAGTCACGGTGAGGATAAATGAGAACACACACCGAAGCTTCGAGCTTGGCTATTTCTAGGCATGGCACAGTGGCTTCTTTACCCTTTTAATTGGAGAAATTAAAAAAAAAAAAAAGATAGTTCGAGGGTGAAACGTTTAGTTTGTTTGTATTCTCCTTTCTAAGAAGGGCATAATACCAGTCTGACATTTTGGAACTGATACGTCCCTCTCCTAGGAGAGCACAGCTCTTATTTCAGAGCATAATCCGCTGGTTTCCCAGGTCACACGGGCCAGAGGCAGAGCAGTCCCAGGAAGATCACAGGGACAGAACAGATATGGCCCCTGCTTGTACTGAAGGAAGTACCCTCCCTTTACCCCTCCAGACTGGGGTCTGGAGTTTGCATCACAAGGGGCCTGATGGCCATGGAGAGCAACAGTGATCTACGGTAGAGTTTTGTGTGGGGTAGTGTTCCATTAGATTCCACTGTTATGGAACAATCACTGATGTTGGAAACCAGAAGGAAAGTAGTTAAATCTATCGGAGGGAATTGTGGGTATCCTGAAAAGAGTCCGGTGGTGGCCTGGACAGGATGGTGGTGGGAGTTGATGGGGGCAGTTTTGTAGAGCTTAGGTGCCTCATTCACAGGATAAAATTGGTAGGAGCTTGAAGATGGGCTGTATGGACAGGGGATGGAGGGGCATGTAGATGCAAAGGGAAGGAGGGTTTTAGGGAGAGTTCTAGGATTCTACATAGTGAAGTGGTTGGGGGGAAAGGGGTGGGATTCACCCAGGCTTGGGGATGAGGGAAGAACATGAGTTCTGTTTTGCTTATGTTAACCTTCGGGTGCCATTGAGAATTGCAAGGGGAGTTAAGGAGATATTAGATATGTGGGTCTGGTGCCGAGCGAAGGCTGGCTGGAGATATATTATTAGAGGAGGTCCCTAGGAACAGACCTTGAATTGAGGAGTCATGTGTCCGTTACTTGTTAAGTGCTCCTGGGAAACCGGAAAGGGAAGGAGGGGGGTTAGGTAAGAGCAGGGAAGCAGCAGCAGCTAAGAAAGACTGTGATCCAGGACAACTCGCTGGAGAGGGCAGGAGTCAGCCTGATCTCCAAGGGGAACTCTGCAACAGTAAGTTACACCTCAACCCACAGAGAAGGACTTGCACTGTGGGGGGTGGACACAAACCCCGGCTCTCTCCCCCTTTGACCTGCAGGCAACCGGCTCTGATAGCTTGAGCACCGCCCTCTGAAGAGCTGCAGGTATGCTGAAAACACACCACACCTGGGCATAGGAAACCCTAAAATGAGATCCCCAGCCCACTGGGTGCAGTGCTGGGCCGGCTAAGCTTACTTAGGGAGAGCGAATGAGAAGAGAGTGGGCACGACTGTGTGCTGATGAGAAGAGAAGCTTATGAAGGAGACCAGGAAGGACGGTTGTTTACAGCTACCCTGCAAAAGATGAGGGCTTACTAGTACTATATTATCTCCACTTTATAGATGAGAAACTCTAGGCTGGGGGAGCTTTAAGCACCAGTCAGATTAAGAGGAGAGTTAGGACTTGAATACAGGTCCCCAGACCTGAAGCTTAGAGCTCCTTCAAATGCAACAAGAGAAGGTTTTCCAGGAACTAAGGGCCCCAGCATTTGAGGGAGCTGGTCCTTTTTTGAAGGGGTTTACAGGTGCTCATATTCATGATGAAACATGTGCCTCTTTGGACTCGGAACCAGGGAGGCGAGAAGAGGAAGGGAAGCTACTTTTTCAGCAAAACTAAGAATCTCCTGCTTGGGGCATTATGTCTTCGAAGGCCCCAGGATTATGATTTTGTATGTGTGGTGGAGCGGTTTGAACCCTCAGCCCAAGATCATGACCTTGAACAGAGAGCAGCCTGCTGGTGGGGGCAGGGAGGGGGGTGTGAAGTCTGGAACCACCGCACCCACACCCCAGGAGGGACAAGTGGGTTCGCGGAGTACTTAGTGGAGAGGACTCTCAGCTGCCCAGAGCACAGGCCCAGCCGTGCACAGTGTACCAAGGCCCTGAGTTGATTTTCTGACTCCGGGGAAGCTGGTGTTGACTTTGTCCATTAAGCAGGCTTGCCGGATGTCTGCTGACCCCAGGTCCTTTGCCCCCTGAGGAAGCCCCACCGCCTCAGAGATCAGCAGGGTGTGCTAGTTCCCAGGGCTTCCCCCATCCAGAGGGAGGGTGTCTGGGGTGGAGCGGGCTCCGGGCTGGGACTCAGGGCCATGCCTGCGAGACCCAAAGCATGACCCTCTGTTTGCCGAGTCTCTGACATGAGGGGCAGCGAGGAAAATTGGAAGTAGTAATACCTGCCCCCTGAATTGCCTGGGATTAATTAGGAGACAGGATGAAAATGAGTTATAGTCTCGTTATTAATGTAGCTGGAAGGATGATTCGTTTAGACAAAATAAGGCCACTGCGCGAGAAGCCGGAGGTCTTCAGATGTCCTCACAGGGCAACTTAAGGGAGTGGCCTACGGGTGTACTTGCGAGGGGTTCCCGCTCATTTACTGGAGGGCGCAAGCCAGCAAACCAAAGCTGTTTTGCCCCGTCAAGTAAATAAAATGCGAAGACTGAGCACGACGCTCGTGTTTATTTTTTGTTCCTTAAGGAAAATATTTTCCACAGAGCTGGACACTAACATGAAAAGTAAAAACGGGGGTGGGGAAAGGAGAAACCCAAAACCGATATAAATTAGAAGCAAACTAGTGTTCATTTCCTGTGGAGGAATTTTATATTTTTTAATGGAGTTACTGCGGCTTTTTATTTCGGTATGAAGGTGAAGAGTCAAAGCATGAGGATTTAAGGCTTCCAAGTGTGTGTTGTTCTATGAACAGACCCTTAAATTTGCCAGCACGCCCTAGGCGCTGCTCCTGCATAACCAATATCTTCCTGCCAGGGCCAAGGCTGAGGGCCCTTTGACTCCCCTGGAAGTTATGCAGGGAGAAGGGGAGTGTCAGGAATGCAGGATTAGGCCCCATAATTGAGGCTGTCATTAGCTGAAGAGGCAGGCGGGTTTGTGAGCCTTTCCAAGTTTGCATTTATTATGGCATGAAGATATGGCTCCTTTGGTATAAAGAGGGTGGGGGGGATTTCTGCAAGTCGGCAATATTTTCTTCTCTCTCTCTCTCTCTCTCTGTCTGTCTGTTCCCCGCCCCCCACCAAGTTGGCTGGTTCTGTAACATTCATTATGCTTTTCTTAATAGATCCCAGAAATGCTGAAATCGTCCTTTAGAGGAAGCATTCACTTGAAACAACAAAAGATTAGAGAAACCTTAAAAATGCTGGATTTTCTTTACCTTTTGAGGAAGGCCAGCTGGAACCTTCTGAAATTATTCCTATCCAGTGCGCAGCCACAAACAGTACTGATGGTGAGGATAAAATAGTATTTTTGTAAATCGCATGTGGATACAGCAATGCCACTTAATCAGATGCTCCTTAGCGGATGGTGGGAACGGAGACCACGGCCAAGACCGAGGAGACTGCTACGGCACAAAGAGGCCGGGGATTAAGATTCAGAAGAGAGCAAATGGCCCGCGATCATTCTGGCACGTACTTGAATGTAACATTCTAGGAACACCCATTTTTTTTAATTAAATTTTTTTTTACTGTAGTAAAATATAAGTAACGTCAAATGTATCATTTAATCAAGTTTAAGTGCACAATTAAATGACATTCAGTACACTCACATTTTGGTACAATCATCACCACTCCTCTACCTCCTGAACTTTTCCATCTTCCTCAGCTGAAATTCTGGACTTCCCCCCCCAAGCCCCTGGTAACCACCCTTCTATTTTGTCTGCATGAATTTGACTACTCCAGGTGCCTCAAAGAAGGGGATTCCTACAGTTTCTGTCCTTTTGCTTCTGGCTTGTTTCACTTACCATAATGTCTCAATGGCTCGTCCAGGTTATAGCTTATATCAGAAGGCCTTTTCTTAAGGCTGAATAATGTACCACTATATGTATATACCACATTTTGCTTATCTGCTCATTCATTAATGCATATTTGGATTGCCTCTACTTTTTGGCTATAATGCTGCTATAAACCTGGGTTTACAGATAGCTCTTCGAGATCCCAATTTCAATTGTTTTGGGTATATACGGAGATGTGACATTTCTGGATCAAGTGGTAATTCTAGTTCTGGTTTTTTGAGGACCGGCCCTGTGCTTTCTATCGTCACTGCACTATTTTACATTCCCACCAACTGTGTACAAGGGTTGCAGTTTCTATCTTCACCAACACACAATTTTCTGTTGTTGTTGTTGTTTGTTTTAAAGATTTTTATTTATTTGACAGAGAGAGACACAGTGAGAGAGAACACAAGCAAGGGGAGTAGGAGAGGGAGAAGCAGGCTCCCCGCAGAGCAGGGAGCCCGGTGAGGGGCTTGATCCCAGGATCCCAGAGATACTTGACTTAACACTTAACGACTGAGCCACCAGGCACCCCTGTTGTTGTTTTTAATTGTAGCTATCCTAATGGGTGTAAGGCAATGCCTCATTGTGGTTTTGACTTGCTTTTCCCTAATGATTAGGGATGTTGAGCATCTTCTCATGTGCTCATGTACAAACATCTGTTCCAGTTCCCCCCTTCTAATTATTTGGGGAGGATGTACCTTGAAGTGAAAATGCACACTACTCCAACATCGAAGCAGGCCCCATAGAGACTTGCTGGGCAACACCGTGTCCCCTGGCCCATTGGCATCCCAGGTTGAGCAGGTGACTACAAATTCTCAAGAGGGCAATGAAGCTGTCATTAACCAACATTCCTAGAGCTAGAGGATGTTCTGGTTAATGGAGGGTTAATTAGACTTCTCCATTTTGGTTCTAATCATTGTTGCTGAAATTCTTCCCAAAATATTTTGCTCTATTTCTACATGACTTACACAGCCTCTCCTAGGGGGTTTTTCTTTATCTTGGAGGAATACTAGTGGATGACCACCTGGGAACTAGGTTCTTAGTGCGCTCTCCTGGAGGTTTAGATTAGAAGGTATCAGACATGTCCAGTGATGTTATAAACCGAATGGTAACTGCTGTGTAGGACGGTGAACTCTGGGCAAGTTAAACTTTCAGAGATGTGGTTTCGGAAAAGATGTTCTGTAGTTCTCCTTTTTGGCAGTCACTGGAGAGCGGGGCCTGTTGTCTATTAAGGCCACTCCTAGTTCATGAAAATAAAACCATGTCAACTGCAAATAAAAGAATGTTTATCTTTCTATTCCCTATGGAGGGAGTTGGAGGGTCCAGGCTGGGAATGTGTCTTATCCAAATGCGATAGCATATCATAGATGTTTCAATGGAAAAAAAGAAAAAAAAATGTGTTTGAATTCATCTGTTTTTCACTTCATTGGAAATTGTGAGTTAGGCTAGATGCTGTATTTATTCATTACGGTACCCCTGGCACTGGCCCAATGCCAGGCACCCAGTAATTGATCAATAGTTGTGTATTGAAGGGATCAGTGTGGCCTGTTTCCTTAAGAGCCTGCCTGATTACATCTCTCTGTCATGAAGTGTTAAGGTGACAGTTCCCTGACAGCACTGGGATAGAATATTCTACTGGCCCGGCTGGCTCCCAGCTGCTGCTAGTGCAGTCAGGCCCACTTTTCAACCCCACTCATGACCATTCCTTTAATTACATGGGGAACTTCTCTTTTTTCTTCTTTTTTGGGGGGAAACAGAGAGAGAAAGGAGGCAGGAGGGAAAGGAAGAGTTGGCTAGAATGGCAGGAACAACTATTTTGAGTCTGGTGTGGTGGACAGGATTTGAACCCATGGCTATAGGGATGAGAGCCAGAGCGTGAGAGAATTGTTCTCCTGGGAATATCTGTGAGACTCAGGGCACAAAGGCAGCTCTAGGGGAGCCAGGGCAGGAGAGGAAGGCAGTGTGGGCACCTCATGCCCTTGGAAGTCCACTGACAGATTGTAGGTTGAGGCAAACTCCTTGGGCTCCTCAAAGAAAAAGGAGGGACAATTTAAAGATTCCTACCCGAATATATGTGGGATTCACAATCACAGCTCTGTGTGTGTGTGTGCACATGTGTGTGCATGTCATTAACTGCCAGTTGGTGACACATGTGAGAATATTTATTTGTGCTCCAAATTTCTACCTTTTTACTTATAAGCAACTAAACCCATGACAGATACCCATGTAGGTAGTAAATGAAGAAAGGCCAACAAAATCCATATGCAAAAGTTATCTATTATTCAAAGAGATTTATCCACAACCTGATATAAATATGGTCCTTGTGTCAAATAAGAAACTTAGGGTTGAATAATAATAATAATAGTAAGAAGAAGGAGGAGGAGGAGAAGGAGGAGAAGAAGAAGAAGGAGAGCTCTGCCCCTCTATAGTGTTCTCTATGTATAAGGCATGATTCCAAGCCCTTTATGTATTTCAATTAATTTAGTCCTTCCAACAGTTCTAGGAGACAAGACTTATTCTGTCCTCTGCAGATGTGGAAACTGAGGTAAGGGAAGTTAAGTAACTTGGCCAAAACACACAGGCAGCTTGTGGCAGAGTTGGGATTCAAACTTAAGAAGTTGGGCTTCAGAGTTTGACATTTCATTGATCATTCTTCATGTAAAGAAAAAGATGACTTTTAATCCTGAATCTAGTTTGGAATACATTTAGCTGCAAGTAACAGAAAAATCTAACAGCGGCTTCAACAAAACTGGATTTAACAAGAAGTCTGCAGTTTGCTTGGTTGGCTCAGTGATGTCAGGACTGATGTGTCTGTTTCATCCTGACCTTTTATCTCATGCTCCCAAAAAGATTGCCCAACTGGAGATGTCACGTTTGTATTCAAGACAGAAATGGGGGTTTGGGTGGGAGCAGTGTCAGTAAAGCAGAAGCGTTCCCAGAAGCCTTAGTGGGCTTACGCTGCCACCTCATCAGAGGAATCAAATGACCACCCGTCCTCACAAAGCAGCTGGGAAAAGTCAAAGTCAGCCTCTCCAGCTGCTTCAGTGAAGGGATGTGTAAGAAAAAGAGTTGGAAATAGACGTTGAGTTATTAAAAAAAAAATATTCACCACACTCCTCAGTGAGAGGAGGTGAGGAAATCTAGACAGACAGAAAGAGGAGACAACAGCTCTGATGGAAGAGGCTGGCACATCCCCATCTCTACTCCAGTTGGTGTGTCCCCTGGAATTCTTCATTTGCCTTGTCTGCTCTCAGACTTGTGATTGTACTGGATCCACTCATCTCCCCACAGACACTGGTTTGGCTGCATGACGGCTGAATGTCGGGATGTTTTAGTAATGTGACCATAGCACACTGTGACATGATGTGGTCTTGAGATGTTGTGACCAGAACCAGTCTGGCTGGCTGAGCCAGGTCTCAATCCCACAGAATTAGTCCAGGGTTCTGGCACCAGCTTGGAGTGTCAGAAGGGTTCTGCAGAGAGCTTTCTGAATCTGTCCCTCCTCATTACAATTAAGATGCTCAAGGGCAGGGCCTGGGTCTCACTAGTCTGTCTTCCTCTTTCTGCCCCCTTCCCCACCCTGTCCCCCGGGACTGTAACAGTCCTGAGCTCATCAATGGGTCTCAATAAATACTTGATGGGTAAACTCACATTCCTGGTGACTGGTCAAAGATGTGTCACTTGTTATGAAGTGTGCCAAGAAAGTCACTTACTCATTTGTCCAGTAAGCACTTTTGTGATTTAATCTGTGAACCAATTACTTCAATACAGCTTCCAGAAATAGAGTTCTCCATCCTTTGAAGCGAGTTAATTGTCAGCCGATATTTTATCTGTGTTCGTTTATCTGACAGACAATTAGTGAGGACTTCCAAAGTCTCAGGCACACTGCTAGGCACAGAGGGACACAGAGAAAGAGGTAATGCTGCGCACCCCCCAGTCCTGGACTCAGAGGGGAGAGGGCTAGACAGGCATGTCAGCAACTTGACTGGGGCTCTGAAAAGGACTACATCAAAGCACTGTGGGTTCACAGGGGGAGGGTGACTCATGATGGCAAGGGGTTGCAGGGTTGTGCAATTGGATTGGCTACGGGAGTCTCCCTCCTTAGACATTCCAAGATGACTGCCAGCTTGGTTTCACTAAGGGGGCTGGGGGGGGCCATGACCCTGTCTGGCTTCCTCCCTCATTGGGTTCACTAGTGAGTGCATACTTCTCCCTGGAGACCAGCTTCACACATGCTCTGCATATTGGCTCTTTTCACAAACAGGACAAAGGAAAACATGAAGGAGAGAGTAAGGCTGAGGTTTGGGAAGCCGGAAGGCCGGGAGACTTCTCCGAGTGAAGGTAGCAGCTTGAATCTTTTTCATTCCTCCCAGGCTAGAACATGAGCTTTCGTTCTGGGGGACGGGACAGGGTGAGGTCTGGAGGATGTTTGGGGTGGGGGGGACTCTCTCTGCAAGGTAGCTCAGATGAGGTAATCTGAGGGCAGGGCAAATGCTACCCAACTCTCTTCACCAAAAGGTCAGTTAAGGAAACAAAACTACCAGAGTATTTTCAAAGGCCTCTTACTCCCCCTTTCAAAGGAAAACAGCTCTATGGAGTCTTCTGGGAAAACAAGTATATTCTTGCAACTTCGATGACCCACTTATGTGAATATTGGAACAGCAGTGAAAAAAAGACAAAGATACTTTTGTAGCCTCTAAAGGGTTAATATCAGAGCATAGTCGAGGCTTAGCAGCAAAAAGGGCAGCTTTGTGATCTTTTATTATGAAATAAGATTAGAGGCCATAGCACAGACTGGGGGAGGAGGGGTCCCATGTAGAGCGGGTGACCCCAAGACTTCAGTCTGGAACATCCGTCCCACACCACAGTGAGTGCCGGACTTAGGGAGCTAGGGTGAAGCCCCAAGCTCAGAGGGACGTTTCCAAACTGGCTCTGTCTGAAGCAGTTTTTGCAAAATAAAATTTGGACCTCTTGCTCTCCTTCAATTTTTAGTGTGCATTCACAGAACAGATTTGTGAAATCTGGAAGTGGGAAAGCAAGTATGTAATCCCTGGTAATTCCGCATCCAAGAATCTCACCGAATATTTCATATGCCACCTCATTAATGCCTGTTCCTGCCTGTGAATTCTGGCCATTCCAGATACCAGTCAGTCCTATTTTACAGATGCGGAAGTCGAGGGAGAGAAAACAAAGCACCTTCATGGAGAATTAGTCATGCAACAGAAACCAAGAGCTCCGAGTGTCCTGGCTTCCAGTCCTTGGCTCTGGCAGCAACACTGGGCTCCCTTTTCTTCTCGTGGGAACAACTGCTAACACTTCGGCTTTCGACTTTCACTTACAGGGCTGATGAAAAAATTACCATTTGCTGAGAAGGCAGTGAAATGCCGACTTCTCACCCTTTGGTCAAGGCGACTTCCTTGAAAGTGCTTTAAAGTAGATTGATGGAATCCAGATCCAGCCATCTTGTCTCCATTGAAATGGCGGCTCATCCACAAAGAACCCCTCCCCCGACCCTCACCAAAAAGCAAAACCAAAAAGGCTATCCTGCATTCCCTGTTTCTTTGATTGAATTGATCCTTCTTTAAAATGCTTATTGAATTTGTTGGCCAATTTAATTAAAAGAGTTAAAAGAGTGAACTTCTCCTGTGGAAGAATCATGCCCATGCCTTTCTTGTGATGGCTCTTAAATGACAGAAAATGCCTGGAGCTGGCTTGGGGGCCAAAGAAGTCAAAAAATTCTTTCCTAAAGTACACATTTGTCCCCCAAGGTGACGCCCACACCGGTACCTCGATACCCCCAGACAGTGGATGCCAATAGAGAGTGAAGAGGTGAATTTAGACATTTTTAGACATAGCTGGGAGGCTGCCTGGTTCATGTGGAGCTAGTCATACCCAAAATATGCCTCATAGGCAACAACTAGAACTTGGCCTGGGAATCAAAGGGGGTGAACCGCTTTGGGTCCATGAAACTTAGAAATAAGCAGAGATTTAAAAAAGAGAACACCAGCTATAAGAAACTGCCATCTTATCCCATGGAGTTTTTCCTTGCCTATCAAATATTACTGAATAACAGTTAATATTTTTGAACAATATTTTATAAAAGACTTGTGGCTCAGCTTTTACACACAGTATCTCACTTAATCGTTACAACAAGCACATGAGATGGGAACTCTTATTATACATTATCTTTTACAGAAGAGGAAATGAGGCATTTGTAAGGAATCTGGGCAGGACTTGAACCCTCATCTGTCCAACTCCAGAAACCACACTCTGAACTGTCTCTGCACCTCGTCAATATTAATTAAATCCTTGCAATGACAGTCCCCTTCTCATGGGATTACAACCATATAAGCCCTCCAAGATTGCTGCAAAGGAGACAGTCTTGGTTTTTGTCGTGGGCAGCGGCATGAAAAGGCGATCCATTTCATCAGCCAAAGCGTAAGAGAAAGAGACCCTGAATTAAGACATTTCTGCTGAGGATGGAGGGGAAGAAAGAGTTCTGGAGAAAGGAGGGTCTCCATTTGAGAGAAACCCTATGAGAGCTCAGGGCTTGGAGAGTAGGAGCTGGGAATGAGAGAGGAAACGGCCTCGGGCAAAAGACAATAAAACTTGATTTTAGTTCCAGGCGGAGGAGGCAACTTGCTTTAAAAGAGAAAGGAGGGGCCGGGAGAGAGAGGGTAGTGAATAGAGAGGGAAGACAGTGTGTTCAGGTGTTCTTTTTTTTTTTTTTTTTTTTAAAGACATTCCCTCAAGTCGGCTACAGTTAAAAGTGAAGGGACAGAGGAGGTCAGATAGAAACAAAGTGCAAAGGGAGAATTGAAGGGCGCTCAGAGAACAGAAGGTAAAAAGATCACAGGAGAGGTAGGAAGAAAGCCAGAGGTAACACAAAGCCCCAGGGAAGCGGCGTGGCAGTGGAGGAGCCCAGTTTAATCAGCTTCGCCTAAGGCGGCCACAGCTAAATAAAGAATGCCGGACGCGGGAGACTGGCCATTCTGGAAAGGCAAGGGTCATTGGTGGCTTCGGTGACAGCTATGTGGCAGCAAAGGGACAAAGGGGAAGAGACCACGGAGCCTGGGTTCTAAGAGGGAAGAAACAAAGAGTGACCAAGAAAATGATGAGGGGACAGAGGCGGAGAACTGCTGTGTCCCTAAGGGGTGTTCAGCGGCCGGAAGTGGCTGGCAGGAGGCGACAGTGAAGGCAGCAATGACCATGGGAGGCAGAGGAAAGTCTGGGGCAATCATAAAGTGGATATTTAGATGCATCTCTGAAAACTGAAATTCACTGTGGCTGTAAATTGTGAACAAATCTGCCCCAGGCGTGTACAGCTTTGTTCCATCTGGCCAGCTCAGGGCTGACCACAAAGAGACCTGATTTGGTCGTTAAAGTGCCCAAAAGCCAGCCTAAATCTGCTGCAACCTGTTCGTGAGTCGGCTTTGTGATGGAGGAGGCAGGCAGCCGGGAGGAGGCACTTGATGGACATGTGTGGATGAAAGAAAAAAAATAAACACTGTAAGAAATGGCTCTCTTTAAAAAAAAAAAAGAAGAAGAAGAAGAAGAGTCCATTTTTCAAAAAGCAAGAGCCCAGGGAACTCAGTTTTGGAGCAGAGTGAAATGAGGTGCAATGTGTAAGTTCTTGGTCAGCCGGGCCTGGGGTTGAAGCCTGGTCCTACCACCTTGGAATTGAATTTTGGCACATTGTGTCCTTTCCTGGGCTGCCTCTGCAGAAAAGCCACCCTCAAAGGTTATCATGGGTGGGTTTTGTGGCGAGAGGGAAAGCATCCAGAGAGGGTCGAGCAAGTTACCGGGGTCTCCTCTTAGCCGCAAAAGTGATAGGGAGACACAAGGGCAGACTCAGAGAGCAAACTTCCTAGAGACAGATTTTATGATGTGGTTGAGTCATGAAAACTCTAATTCCAGAGCCTTCCCTCTTTGTATACAATCATGTCTTGTTTCAAAACAACAGGTGCCAAATTTTAGGAAATCTGAGAGTAGGGGATTCTGTGATAAGAACATAAGGTCAACCATGGAAAAAATAAGCTTATCATGGTATATTTATTAAATATTGCAATGACTCCTACCTACCCATCTACCTACCGACCATGCCTGGGACACTTGGCAAACTGAGAGGTCCCTATCACTGCCTTTTAAATATGCAAGTCTGAGCTTCTGTAGTGCGAGGAAAGTCAATTTTATATCTGCTTTTAGTGCCACATTCAGACTGTGAAAGCGGCCGTTTAGAAAACCTTTAGGTAAATATTTGAAATATTCTAAAACTGACATTCTGAATGATATTCTGATACCACTTCAATAATGTTTTATAAAATTCAGAGGAAAAATAGAATTAAGTAAATTTGAACTTTCCCTTTGCCGAGGCAGTTAAAGGCCGTACTATTTGCATATTCTAATGTGGGATCACTGTAGCTCAAGGTACAAAGCTTCCAAAGAAACTGTCCCTAGCAGGCCAACAGTGCAGGCGCCATTAACCTTTGGCCTTTCATCTGCATAAGACAAAAATCAAAGTCGCTGCTTTTCAAAGTGGCTCCTGTGTAACCACTCTGTGCAGCCCATGCTTTCCAGAACAGTCTTTGGAAGCACAATTAGAAGGTTTAAAAAGCAGAAACAAAAGCTCCATCCTATTTACACATTTAAAGTAAAGGTCATTCTCAGAAACTGGGCTTCCCAGATTTCTCCCCTTGAAATCCCTTAAGATATGTAATACCAACATAAAGGGAATCACAAATCCAGTTTTCAGAAAATGGCATTAAATATAGATTTAAACTTTGACCTTTAGTCCCAAGTGAGAGGACAAAAAATTCTCTTTACAGTGAAGGGCATGTTGCTACTAAGCTTCAATGAGTAGGAGAGAACCTGCCTGGTAGGAGCCAGGATTAAGAAGCACCAAATCGATTTACCTCCAATGCAGGTGTGCTGCAAATCCGCTGGGTCCGGACGTAGCGCGTGATTGGGCCAGGCTCATCTATATTCTAGAGTTTGTAGAAGTAGCTTCTGGGAAACGGGGGTCTTCTTGGCCTGGGGAATTGACGTTTCCACGGCAATATCTGAAATGCATTCCGAGTGAGCAGGAATAAGAGATGGAATACGCAGGGTCTCCCACTCCACATTAGGGTCATGAGCAATAGTGGGAAATCCGTGGGTAGCAGAGTGACGGATTGGGCAAACAGGGAAATCATGGAGACCCAGAGCATTCATATTTTTACATCCCTTATTACCCTGATTGCTCTGCAGGTGCTGACCAGGGCCCCAGGCTGATGACCCGCTCTGTAGCTCATCTCCCTGCTTCATCATCGGCAAGTGGATATTGGGGCCCGGGTGGGGGAGAGGGTGCATGACGGACAATGGGAAATGGAGCTTATTGGAGAGAGGGACTGTCGATTCTATGCATACCCAGAGGCAAAAGAAGAAAATTTCCCCGACTGTGGAATTTGCTAGAACAATTAGGGAAGTGGAGATAAACAGGGATGATGAGTACTCGACTGGGGTCCGTTCGTTTTGCTCTTAACTAGGTAGGTGATCTCATGATGACTATGTAGCACAATTATTCATTTCTTGGTCTCTGCCACCAAACAGTAATCTTTAGTTAGCAAATCCGATCTTGCCGATTTTCCATCAGTGCCTGACTTATACGGGGCTCTCAGCAAATGTTTGTTGATTGGATAAGTGAGGGAAAGAAGAAAATTCTTTGTTGGGAGGGTCCCAGTACAACTCTTTCACTTTAAAGATAAAGCAATTGAAACCCGGAGAGCAGAGGTCCCACTGCTTGTTGGTGTTAGAATGAACAAGGGTAATGGGAATGATGATCCTGGTAACAGCTAACAATCAAGTACCTGAACCGTGCTAACTGCCCATGCTGGTGATTTCTTAGTTGGTTCTCAGCTCCATAATCACCTTGCTATTTTCCCTTCTATGTCCAGTGCTTGGCAGCCGAAAAACTACATTTCCCAGACCTCCTCGTCAGCTTCTGGTAGGTCCTATCACTGACAAGCACTCACAGAATCTTGGGAAATGGGAACAAGGGAGAAGTTATTATTTTAGCATTTATCTAATTAATTAAGTTGTCTGTGGCAGCAGGTGGTGGCAGCAGCAGGCCGTGGAAGGTGACCGCAGGGTTCTGGGACATGGTTGGTGAGTGGCGACACCTGTGGGTTTGTTGGGCTCTCTCAGCCCCACAAGGGCACGATCTCCTGGTTTCCTCAGCATGGCAACAGTGGTGGCCCCCGCGGCCTCGGGAGACAGGAGTTTGTGAGCTGTGGGTAACCCCATGTCCTTTTTGGTGTCTCCTGTCCTAGACGGAAGTGTCTTCCTGCAGTTACTGATTTCTCTCTGGGTAACACTGCCTTCCTGGTTTGGCTCCAACAGCCCTTGTAAAACATTAGTACCAGTTTCTGGTATTACGTTCCCCCCTACTGAAATACTCACAGTGTTTTCTGTGGACGTTCTCTTCTTCTCACAGAAACCTATGAGTTGTGAACCAATGGAACTATACACCTATTTTACAGATGAGGAAATGAGGCTAACAGACACTGAGAGACTTGCCCAAGAGCACAAAGTGAAGGTGGTGGTACAGCAGGGACACAAACCACGTCTGTCTTCTGCCTATATTGATGCATTGAACTATGCTCCTCAAGGTACCCTGTTACCTCCATGGGATTATTTTACTGAGGTAATTTGGGTGCCTGGCAATGGGGTCTTCCACCTCTGTGCTGTGTAAGAGTGATTTTACTGGGCCCTCTTCTAGAGTATTCTAGAACATTCTTTCTCCAGGTTGCTTGTTTCCTTGCCCTCCTGATCTAAGCCTCATGATGAAGTTATTTCCTTTATTAAAAACTTTACAGCGGGGCACCCAGGTGGCTCAGTCAGTTAAGCATCTGACTCTTGGTTTAGGCTTAGGTCTTGATCTCAGGGTCCTGGGATTGAGCCCCCAATTTGGGCTCCATGCTCATCAGGAGTCTGCTTGAGATTCTCTCTCTCCCTATCCCTCTGCCCCTCCCCCTGCCCATATTCTCTCTCAAATAAATCTTTAAAAAAAAAAAAAAAACTTTACAAGGATTAGTGTATCTTTTAACAGCAGAAGTAGCTAAGGGTCTGGAGCTGTTGGCAGAAGCCAGGAGGTTACCTGGAGTAAGGGTTTGGTAGAAGAGAAGAAGGTAGAGTGAATGGGCCCAGTGTTATTACATAGCAGATGGGGCCCCTACACTGTCAGGACAACACTGAGGGCCCTGGCCCCTGGCTTTGGTGAAGACCAACCAGAGGATGGAGGATTAGAGGAATTTTCCCCCATAAATGCCTTAGAATGGTGTCTGGCTTATCACAAGCACTCAATTACTATTAGCTTAAAAGTAGGCCATGGGACCAGGGACTGGAGGAGATACCAAGGCAAATCAGAGCCGGCTCAGCCTTTGGGGATATTCAGCGATGAGGGGCTGAGGCAAGTGCACATCTGAACTGGGAGGGAAGAGCTGGAAGGCAGCACAGGCATCCTGCGAGGGTTCTGGGGACCCGAAGGGGTCAATGCAGGCTCTGGGCTTTGAGTAGGCTCTTCAAGCAGGGTGAGATGTAAAGCAGTGGCAGTGGGGGAGGAAAGCACAATTTCCGGGCAAAGAAACTGTACACGGAGGTATTTTCGAATTAAAGTCTCGAATCTCCTGGGTGATTTTTATGCAGCTCTCCCACCTTCCTTCTAAAGGTTTGAGAACAGTTTCTGTGAACCCCCAGGGCCTTCAGGAGCTGCTCAGAGTTGAAATGTCCTCTACAAAAGCCAAGTTCAAGGACCAATCTGGCCTTTTCCACATCTTTTCCAATCTTCTCTATCTCTCCTCCACCACTGCTCGCCTCCCCCAGCCCCTAGATCCCAGGACTCAGTCCCTCCAGGGGCTCAGCAGAGAGCCTTCATTGCACCCTCCCTCACATCCAGACCCTTTGTCCCTGGGCCTGCTCCTTTAGGCTCCTGCTATTGGACCAGACAGCGATTTTGATGGACTCACCCGAAGTAAGATGTCAATGGCTGTTGTAACTTAAAAATGTTCCCTCTCAAGAGTGTCTGTATTTTAACACTGGCCTTCAGCACTTCATTGAAAGGACTAATGTGAATTTCAAATGATAGGTCATAGAACTTACATCAGTTAAAAATGAGTTTGGCTGTAATGTAAAGCCATACTGCCATGGTTTAAACAAGTAAAGGTGTTCTAGGAATACACACACACACACTCACACATGCGTACATGCACACACAGACGCTGTTGATGTGTCTGTTCAAGGAGAGCAAAATATGCCACTTTGGCATATGGGTTATTTTGAGATGATGGCAATGGAGACCCAGCAGACTCAGGAACAAGTTCCACCTCTCCCTTAACGACCTAAAAAAATTTAGATAGGGAGTCTGGCCCAGCAAGAGAGCTATCACCAGAGAACTTTCTATATGAAAGACCTATCTGTATGGCAGGATAGACATCTAATTACTAAACATCTGTTCTTCTCCTCCTCCTGTGAATCGCCCTTCTTCCCCTTCGAAGGCCCAGGCCCTGAGCCCATTCCTCAGCTCAGGATGGCATATTAGACTCAACTACCCTCGAATCTCATATCTTTGCAGCTCCTGAATGGACAAAATTACACTTGTCTTTCTCTGTTAATCTGTCTTATGGCAATTTAATTATTAGATGGACCAACAAACCTGGAAGGGAGGAAGGGAAAATTTTCCACCCCTGCAAGGGCTTAGTATGGCGGCTCTGTAATGTCACACCCAGGGCCCCCATCCTCTTCCTCTCTTCCGGCTTCCTCCCCAGGCTGGCAAGACGGCTGCTGCTTCTTGAAGCATCGCAGACGTTATGGAGCAAAAGGAAGAAGGCAGAAGCGGAAGAGACAAAGCGGCTCCCGCCCCAGGGGCTCTGCCTCTATCTCATTGGTCAGAACCAAGTCACATGATCAGTCTCCATCTGCAAGGGAGGCAGAGAAGTGATCTTCATGTTCTCACTCTCTCTCTTTTTTTTAATAATTCGACAGAGTGACACTCAAAAACAAAATCCAAGTTCTTTTAGTCCGTAGGAAAGGAAAATAGATGGGGAGTTGGCAATAGGAGAGTCTTCCAGGGCTGGAGAGGCTTTCAAGTGCATTTTGTCCTGCTTTCTTTGTCTCTGGAGAAGGTGTAGCATGAAATGCAGAGAAGCGCGGCTTGGAGCTGAGCAGAACTATACCGAGCACCCTGGTCTCTAACCCCCTGCCCGCTGTGCACTTTATTGTGCCGTTTTTCACCTGCCAGAGTTTAGGGCGCATGTGCTAAAGCCAGGCAGCAGACGGCACCCCTTCCGTCAGTGCCACCCACTCTTCCCATTGCATAAGGTAGCCCCCTGCTTCCTTCGGTTACAGTTAGAAAGGCTTCATTTTTAAATTTTTTAAAACCATTTCAACCCTGTTTAAGTGTACAGTTCAGTGCTATTAAGGGCCTTGACCACGTGGTGCAACCATCCCCACGATCCCATTGTTTATTTTTCATTGCTAATCCAATGCTGGTTTCCTTAGGTGTGGGGTTCAGAGGTGGGGATTTGAAATAAGGGTAATGAAATTTTAATTCATTCAAAAATACAAAATATTTTTACTTTTCCAAGTGTTAACAGCTTAAAAGCACATGTATTTTTCTGCCCGGAAACATGTGGTTTCTTATCTGGATTATTTATCCCTCCCTCCAGTAAACGTTGCTCCATGCTACTCTCTTGCACAGAGAGCCAGCATCAGGGCTCTGAGCTGCTCCATCTTTTATTCAAAGGGCATCAGTATCAATCCCCTTGGTTTGTACTCCAAGTCTGCAAATAAATTATTTCCTTTGTATGTTACCATGGCCATTTTGTGATTTTGGACAGATGAACACTCCTCCGGATTTCTAGTCCCTGTGAATTAGGTCAAAACCAGAAACAAGGAGGAGACATTTGGGGGTAGAAAGACAGTCCCCAGCCCACAAACAACCTTCCACTCTTGGAAAGATTCCCACAGAGTTTCACAGGCAGAATAGCGAGTCCCGTAACTTCAGTAGACCGTGGAACTCTGGAGGGAGACAACTGGTGCAATTTCCATCTCTTGAAACATTTAAAATGTATCTGATCAAAGGGGGAGAAAATTAACCACAGTGTAGGAAGCTGGCAAGGGGACGGACAAGATGACCTAATTTGCCTTTCCCATTACTAATTTCAGTAGGAGTCTTCTCTGGGACTTTCACACTGAAATTCCAAGGCAAGAGCACCTCAATGGGATTCTCACGGCTGTGAGAATGACAATCAGGACTTGTGATTTCTGAAGCATCTGCTGTTGTATCCTTGGGGGTTTAGCATGGAACTAAATTCTCCTCAGATAGATACATTGGGCCCCATTCTTATCTACATAATAACTATGGAGAAATTTTCCCTTTGGGTTTCAAAGGACGTGAGTTTGGTCTATCAAAGTTGGGGCTATGCAATGAATTCATTACTCACTGAAATAAAAATCAACACAAATATGTCTTTGCCTTAAGAAAAAAAAAACCCACACCACTTAGTTGCTTTACCAACCTCTGGATTCAATTAATTTTTAACATGGAAGTAAAGTTCCCTTTTATTTTTTTCTTCCTTTCAAGCCAGACATTTATTTTTAACAAGAGATGAAATCATCTGAGAACAAAACGGGACATCTGTTACTTTATATCTGTTTATTTTAAGTACTTAAATCTGAGTTTGATTTCACACAATTTTGACATTGTTGCTTCATTAATAATCCTTACGTAATTGCGACCTCAGAGGGTGCCCTGTGATTGCGGCATTCACTTCTCATTAGTGCAGAGTCTGATAGGAAAGCCAGAGTCACCCTGGGATGGGAGAGACTTCCATGTTCAAAGTTGCTCTCAACACTGACCTCAGCAACAGCAGGAAACCACCTCAGAAATCACAAGGAGAAGGCCTCGAATGGGGCCCAACTTCAGTAAGCAATGGCCTATAGTCTGTTGTTAACATTTGCATGGTCCCATTTTTTGGGAGTTGTTGGTTGGACAACCTAGAGGCAGCAGTCATTGCAAGAGAAATGCAAGATTGTGTACACTTGCACACAATTAACACGTACACATGTGTGCACACCAATGTGTTGGAGCAAAGAGACCATCTCACCCATCTTCGAAGGGTAGCACAGGTTGGTGGGACAAGTAGGAGGTGGGTCTAGAGGAATGGGCCAAGAGAGATGTGTGAGAGCTTCAGAGAGAGGCCTCTGTGGCCACAGTGGGCCTGGCTGAAGGAACAGCCTAATACCTGTGGCTGAGGATCAAGGTGTGGGGCTCAGAGATGGGTTGAAATAAGGGCAGTGGAATTTTTAATTGGTTCGTTCATTTATAGACCAAATACTCAATAACTACTATGCAAAGCATTGCATATACATTGGTAAATAGATTGTCCTTCCCCTTCTGAAGGTTACCAGATCCGTGTGCTATGAGAAGGAATGGCCAAGAGGCCTAACTGAGCTCAAGGGGGTCATAGAAGGATACTCAAAGAGGTTAAATGTAGGTTGAGACCTGGAGGATGACAAGGAGTTGAATATGGGGAAGGGAAGGGAGAGGGAACTCAAGCTCATGGAAAGGAAGGAGATCCGCTTATTGGAGGAATGGAAAGGAGGCCAGTGTGGCTAGAGTGCTGTGAGAAAGAGGAGTGAAAAGAGGGAGAAGGGAGAAGGTGGAAAAGAAGATGGGAATCATGCCTGGTCTCACAGGCTGAGGGGAGGTGCTTGGATTTAACTGTATGCATAAGGGAAATGATACATGCATAGTTTTAAGCAGGTGAGTGATACGATGTGGCTTATGTGAGCAGAAAGGGAGAGATTAATTTCATAGGCTGTTGTCATGGTTCAGAAAGGTGGCGATGGAGGAAGTGGGAAAGGGGCAGATTAAGAAAATCTTTAGGGAATGCTGATGGACTGGATATGGGGGGTGACAGGGGAGGAGGAGTCAAGACTCTCCTGAGAGTTCCTGGCTCAAGTATCTGGGTGAACGGAGGTATGAGGTGGGAAATGTGGGCTGGGGCAGGGAACCAGCTTGTTGGGGTAGGGTTGGAATGGGGAATCAACCATTCCATTTGGGACATCTAGCTTTGACATGTCAAGTTGGCAGTGGAGTATTTGAGTCTGAAGTTTTCCTAGGAGAGGTCTGGCTTGGAGGTATAAATATAGAGCTGTTGGCAAGTAGATGGTTTTTAAACCAAGACAATGACTGATGTTAACAAGATTTTGAATAAAAGTGGGTAAGTGTTGTGCTGGCTAGAGGTTCTCCATGGAAGAGGGAAAGGTGCTTATATTTACTTATATTTAATATTTAATATTTTAATATTTAATATTGGGGGAATATTTTAAAGGAAATTATAGACATGATATTTTACCCCTAAGTTTCTTAGTATTCAAAAAAAAAAAAAATCAGGTCCTCTTCCTACTTAAGCACAATCCCAGAAAACAACATTTATGGTCTTCAACTCAGTGCTCTTTTCTCATGCCCAGCACTATCCATTTATATTTTTCTTTAATCCTCACAAGAACTTTTTGAATAAGATGTGATCAGTCCATCCTACCAACGAAGACACTGCAGCTCAGCAATGGTTAGTAAATCACCCAAAACCGGGTATCTAGAAACTTGTGAAGCCAAGACCCAAACCTAAGTATGACAGACTCTAAATCTTTCCCCCCATCCCTCCTTAGCTGCATGCCGATGCCTGGAAACTCATCTTAATGGAAGGCATATGATCCTTCTATCCTTCACTTGGCCTCTATTTCTCAGAGAACTGTCCTCTCTTCTGAGCATTTGATCCCATGATTCCCATTCTTTGCTGACATTGGGGGACTGTGTTCTCCTTTGGCCAGGCTGCAGTGGACTATTCTCTAAAGGCATGGGGGTCCAGGAGGAATCTGGCTACAGCCTGTCAACCCAATTATCATAGATTTGAAAAGCCAACTTTCATTCTGGCCAGCATGCACAGGGTGAGGACTCTGCCAATCCCTTGGAACTTGGCAAACCAGTGGTGGTCGAATGAGGGGCGTAATTGTAGTGACCATTCTGCTTTCTGTGGTCACATCAGTGCCTCATGCTTTCAGGGCTGCTCACCAGAAGAAAGCCTGGGGTTGTGCCCCTGGACACGCTGCCCCCAGCTTCCTGCAAACCATGACCTGGGAAGCTATGGGGTGGGGGCAGTTGACTCAGATACATGCCAGTTCTACTTTCCCCAGGAAGGGTGTGTTCTCGGCCCATTGCTGCCATCATCCTTATTGTAGATGATGCAGAATTTACATGTAGAGAGGCCTCTATCATTCAAAGGAGGTATATGTATTCCAGAGCCATCCTGGTGGCCTCCCAATCACTCCCCAATCCCTAACTCTCCTTTATTTTTATTTATAACATTTATCATCATCTGCTATAAAAGCATTTGTTGAATAATGATTGAAACAATCCTATAGCGTCCTAGACATCTAAATATTAACCTGGTGAGTCCAAAATAGCCCATAACAGACTTTTGTCCACTCTCCTCTACAAAGCTCTGAAATACTTTCTTGTCCCACAAATCTCAGCAACAAAAAGAAGAGAATGATGAAAGAAAAACAGGAAGAAAGAAGGAAGGAAGGAAGGAAGGAAGGAAGGAAGGAAGGAAGGAAGGAAGGGAGGGAAAGGAAGGGAGAGAGGAAACAAGGGGAAAGCAAATACAGAAAACATGGGAACACACTAGAGGGAGCCATGTTCAGAGCAAAA